GATAGAGGAGGAGGAGGAGCTGGAGACAGGTTCTGTTTCAGTTAGCTCTCTGTGTGCTTCAAACTGGAAGAGGAAACTCACCACATGCTGATTTAATGCTGTAGACTATGTGTTCTCGCTCAAAGCCTTTAATGAAAATCAGTGATCTCAACATAAAAACAATCAAATGAGCAGTGGGGCAATGCCAATAAGTCAGAACTTTAGGTAATCGGGGATCAGAAATGAATGGAGGCATGAGAAACTGAGTGGATTCTTTCTGTTACTATGTCAACAGTCACAATTCACAATACTGGTTTGAATTAAATCATCTCTCCAACTGTAAGCAGACTTTCGCTTTAAAAACAGACAAACAAAGGAGTTTTCTGAAGCAGACATTTTCATTCTGACCTTTGATCAGATCAGACCGACAGACTGGAGATTTCTTCAGTCTGAATGGAACAGCATGTTTCTCTGTTAAAGGACATCAAATCATGACTAAAACCATTTAAAGTGCTCAGGTCTGAGAGGCTGAGGAGGATAACTGTGTCACATCAAAGTGAAATGAGATGAACCTCAGGTGAAGAACAATGTTGATCAGATCAGATTCATCTCACATCCCATTCTTTCCATCCAGATGTCTAGTTACAGTTGGTGCTGACTTTGTGTTTCCAGTGTGGATCAGCTGATGTGATTCTGGCTTCCTTTCCATGTTTTCTATCACAGACTTGCAGACTGTGGACTGTCAGAGAGTGTCTGTGAAGATGTGGCCTCTGCTTTAAAGTCCAGCCCCTCCCATCTGAAAGAACTGGACCTGAGTAGAAACATGCTGATGGATTCAGGAGGGAAACATCTTTCTGCTGGACTGGAAAGTCCAAACTGCAGACTGGAAACTCTGAGGTTAGTTCACTCCGTCAGCTTTTCTGGTTTCCTGATGATACAGACTCACAGAGCTAATAACCAGAAGAGGGGAACGGGGCAAAACCCGGATTAAGAGAGAGGAACAAGAAACAAACATAACTGGCCAAAAATGAGGAAGTCAAACCATGAGTGGAACTATAAAACACAACTAAGACCAGTCTGATACGGACAGGGAAACAGAGAATAACTTCAAACAACAAGGAGAAAACAAGATTAACAAGATACAAACTGGGTACATAAAACAGAGAGAAACAATAAACCCAGAAAAAAAATCACAAATGAATGTAGGCAGGACAAAGAGAATTCTATTCTGTATTACTCTGACTTTCACTACAACAACTTTAAACTAACTTAACTTATTTATTTTGATTTAATTTTTAGATTCTATTATTTTTTCTATGCCATATATAAAAAATATTTGATCAAATTTTATTTCATATGTCGGAAAATCTGTATGTTGAGGCATCATAAGTAGAGGTTCTGCTGTAGTTAGATTCAAATGAATCTACATGATATGTTCTTTCTTAGACTGGAGGGCTGCAGTTTGTCAGAGAGCAGCTGTTCTTCTGTGGTGTCAGCTCTGAAGTCCAACCCCTCCCATCTGAAAGAACTGGACCTGAGCCTGAACCCCATCTCTGAGTGTGTGATGAAGGAGCTGAGCAGCTTTCTGCAGAGTCCACTCTGTGGACTGAAGACTCTGAGGTCAGACTCCAGGTTTTAGTGGTTAGTTCAGATCAGAGGATGAGCTGAAAGCTGTGCTGACATTAAATGGTTAACAGAAGCATTTTAAAGATTCCTACTGAGAATTTTTGTTTAGATATGATTTTCACTTGTCTTTAGGTAAACATTTATTTACAAGAATCCACATTTGATAAAAATGTTTGACCTTCAGCTCCTACAGAGCTCATTATTCATGTTCCTCCTCTCCACCACCAGACTGCTCTCATGTGTTATTGAGTTGTTGCTTTGGGGTTAACAGAGTGATTCCCTTTATTCATGGCACAGGTTGAGGAGATCTGTGTGGCAGCTGTTTGTCAAAATGATGCAGAGGGGCTCTGACATTTTGGAGTTTTGCCCCCCCCCCCCTCGCTCTCCGGCCACTGGAAGGAACACACCTTCTTATCCATTCTAACACAGAACAGTCTGTTACACTTACATGCAGTAAGCTCCTCTGATGTCTGCTGGTCAATAGGGCTAAGTCAGAGAGGGATTTGAGTGGAGCTGGGGGGCTTTATGTGTGTCCTTTGTCACGTTTTGTAGGATAGACAGCTCTGTTGTTTCTGTCTGACTTTTAGCGCCCATGCCTCTGGACTCATGACAACTGTCCACTCATGGGGGTGGGACTTTGCGCATGTTGAAAGTCCCCGTGATTGGAGGACTACTCAGAGCTAGCAAAGCATTGTGTGACTTTTATTTTGGCGATGGCGTCTGGGGACTCATCCCTGATGAAGACTAAGGGCTACTAGTGATTAATGTTTTGTATGACATTTAACATCATTTCGTCAATCGACTCACGTGCACGCGCGCATATGCCTCTGGACTCATTCCTGTGGGAGAGCTGAGTGAAGCTGACACACCCCACACACTTAAAACATTCATGCAAATAGATCAAATGATTTGTGTTGTAAAAAACGCTGTCTGTGTTGCTTTTGTTTCTGAGGTATTAACAATCATAATTTTGGCCGGTGACGTCACCACTGGTCAACAAACCAGCATGGTCTACCTTTTTTGTGTTCCCTTTGTTGTTGGTTGTTGATTGAATAATTTTATTAATAGTTGACCATTAAAGTGGTGCATTACAGTCACCAGCTGGTGTGGAGTGTGGACCAGAATGTCACTCAGGGGTTAATTTTGGAGTTGTCAGATTTTCTTGACGCAGGAAAGGACATCAGGTAAGTCTCTTACTTCTGTGAAAAGCAGTGGGGCAATCAAAGTTTTCTTTTTGAATTAACTTGTCGCATCGGTGTTATTTAGCTGGGGTTTTTTGTCCTGTCTCCATGTGGTCTCGTCATTTCCTGTTTTATTTTGATAAGTAACCCTCATCTCG